GCGCCGGAGATACCAGATTACTTCGAGCGAGCGACGTGGGGAAATGGTGAAAATCTGCATCGAAATCGTCCACCACGACGACCACGACGAAGACGACGACGACGACGACGATAACGTCGTCGGAGTACGATTCCTGCCGGAATTACTGCGGCGAAAACGCGGTTCAACGGTGTCACAGCTAGGTCAAGGTTCCCGAACGCGTGTACGAGGTATAACCGTGTCTCAATCCATTCGAGAATATTCCAATTACACTGAGAGGAAAATATGTGTCACTATATATGTAATCACATAGAGAAATTGTTATTACGAGTTATAGTCAGGAAAATTATTTCTTATTCTACTATAATATTAGTGATAAGGACTTTATAGGCATACTACAATTAGAATTTACTACCATTAGAACAATTGAAAAATATGATCGGACTCAAGAATAACTATAATTTTAGTCAGATCAACCATTCTCTCTCTTTTTCTTTCTCTTTCTCTCTCCCTCCCTCTCTTTCTTAGCCGAAATGCAAGATGTAAGACGAAACAATGTACAGAATACGTAATCAGCAACGAGGAGTTCTATCATAGAGAGAATATTGTAGTATACTCAGGAAAATACATATTGCATTTCAAGTAAATGTTACTTATTTCAAGTGTCTCATAAGTTTGCATACTCAAAAAGCTATTGTAATTCATCATGAGCATCAAATTTATTCAAGACACATTCTGAATCCTAGGAACTTTAGCATTCCTAGACTTTAGCATGTTCCTAGACACATTCTAGGAACTTTAGCATTTCCAGTATATGAAATTAAAGCAAATTCGGTTTGCTTACTGCATAGAGAATTCAACCAACCTTTTTACTCCGATAAAGTTTCATGATATTCCCCTAAAGAGAATAAAATCTTCTTTCGAGTACATGATAATGAGCTTTTCCAAAGTCTGTGATGAGTACGTCTCAAAAGATCATTATCAAGAAAATGTATCATTTATTGAAAATAACCATTATTTATAAGAGAGAAAGTAAATCCAATAATCGTTTTTCCTAGCAGTAGAATAATATTCTTCCCTGTGTATTAATTGCAATGCAACTTTCTGATCTAGAACCATGTTATAATCGAAATTACTATATATTCGTTTATAATATATTATGCGCACACACTTGACCTTTTATTATAAAATTACTTGAATATTTTCTATATCGTCTATTCGCGGTAGATCGTCACATTTACTATTTCCATACACTGCCAAAAATTGTATGCTAAGTTCACTACATTGTACACATCTCAATTTTTTCAGTATAATTCTTGTGTTAGTTTAACGTAAGACAAATATATAAACGAATAACTCAACTTGTCTGTGCGTTCTATACATAAAATATGTCACCTAGAGTTCGTGTATTTACATATAAATTGTATTATCTTGACACCAAGAAAATTTGTGAATTTTTTATGAACTCGCAAAATGGTTAGAATATCATAATAATAATTTGTTAAATTAGTACACGAATATATAAAAAATTTATATAAAAAATTTCCACACGGAACGACTTCAACAGAAGTACAAAATGTTTTTTACCGTATAATAATTTAAAAACGGTAATATCAGAGAGTATAGTTCAGTTTTGCGAAAAACATTGTAAGATGAAGTATAATTTTAACGTCATTTTTACTACAATATTTCCCCTGTGTATTCTGCTCTTTTTACCGACTTGCATATGATGTAGTAATTATAAGTAATAATTACGAAGAATTGAAATAAATAAATGAATAATTACGAATAATTGCGATAACTTATTTTTCCACTAAGAGATTCGAAAAATAATATATCTATACCGCGATTTTTCTCTTTAAATCGACGTCAGATGTAATAAATGGAACGCATGAAAAACGCGAGATGTTTGCGATTTGATCCATCCGCAGTGAGAAATTGCGATTTTCCGCTTCAGTGATAATGGCCGGGCAAAAATGTGAACGGATATATCCGCTTCCGAAACGAATGGGTGAAATAACGATTGATCCCGCAGCACGGCGAATGCGCGTAATTCGAGGTGAGTCGCGTTGAATTCGCTAGGAATTATCATGCGAAACGTTCTCGAGCGCGCGCGCTCCAAAAGTGGGGATCCATAAAATATCAAGGGTATTGCGCGTGAAAAAATATCAAAAGTTACAGGCAGCGTGCGGCAGCGCGATCGAAAATTCAAAGGTCGATTATATAGCCCAGAGCCGTCGTCCCTCTTTCGCTTGTTCGGCGCGAAACGTCGTCGTCGGGCGATTACGCCAATGTTGGATAATTACCTTTGGTATTCCGATGGAATTATATAAAGGCACAGCAAGCGGCGCAATGAACGTAATCACCGATGCGTTCCTTTTGCGCGTTACGCAATTCCCGTTGCAACGGCGGCAGAGATACGTTTACGGCTCGCGATTAATTTATCGCGCGCTCAGCGCCGGTATCGTCCGATAAAAGCTTTTGCACGCGTTTAATATTTCCAGGAACGACCTGGGCCGCCAGCGAAATCGCCGCAGGAACATCGTGAACGATATGTTCCTCGACTTATCGCTCGCGACATCCCGCCATCTCCCGTTACATTCGCTTCCGGTATTCATTCATCAAAATGTCGATTCATAAAACTGCGCGATTCTGACGCGATTCCAGCGGTCGCTTCCGAAAGTCCTCCGATTCGTTGCCTACACTGAGAGAAAAAATATCCAAGAGACTGTAAATATTTATTTGATGGGTGCCAACAACATATTTACTTTGTACATAGATGGAAAATACTTTTCAAATAAGAAAATATACATTTTTTTTTAAATCTTAAGGAAACCTTAGCTTTTTATGAAAGTAATTATTTATTCTATTGAATAAAAGAATTTAGATTTAAGTAAATATGCTGTTAGTACATATTGCCACCCCCGAATAAATATTTACTAATTTTTAGATATTTTTTCTCTCAGTATATATTAAACAAAATGTTTGTTATTTGTAACTATAATCACGTAAAAAATCATTATTGCAAATTATGGTCAAGAAAACTATTTTTTCATTAGATTCTGCTATAATATTAGTGATAATAACCTTATATGCGTGTTACTACTAGCATTTGAATGTTAGAAAAACCAAAAAATACGGTTGAGGCCCAAAAATAACTATGATTTTCTCTTATTGTATAATATGCTTGTTCCTATAATAATTTCTTTCGCGATTTTTTCGCTAGAAAAAAAAATTGGTTCATAAAATTATCTTTATAACACATTATTCGCGCGTGATTTCAATGCCTGCGTTAATTCGAGAATTTTAATTTGGTCGACTAAATGAATATTGAGCAAAAAATTTTTCACGAAAAGAAATTCATGTAAAAATGTGAAATTATACCAAGAGGAAATCCTAGAATGTACCGCGTATTTAAATACTACTCTTTCTCTAAAGTCACGCATTCTCCGTTAAAATAATAGCTAAGACTCGACAACCGTGGTAAATTATTACGGTTGTTGAGTCTTTTACGTGAGCAGAAATTCAAAGTGCGCGACGCAAACAGTCGATCGACTGTGGACAAAAATATTGCGTAAAATTAAATACCAGCGCGTGAACAGGTCAAGAATAAATAATAACGTGACTGCTTATTATATTTCAAATCTGCGTGTAGACCCAGTTAGATAACAAAGATCGAGAAGGTCATCGCGAAAACAAATCGTGTTTCGCCAATAATCCGCATATCGTTCTACTCCAGTTGGGAAACTTGACACGCGACTACAAAATTCGCATTGTTAACGGCGAAATATCGCGACGACTGTCAATTGTATTCTGTATCAGTCAAAAGCTACATCAATATCCGTTACCTAACCCATACTGAGAGAAAAAGTATCTAAAAAATAATAGATATTTACTTATATAATAGTACGTACTCTATAATAATATATTTACTTATACTAACAAAATATTTTTCAAGTGTAAGAAAATATATATTTTTTTAAAACCTTAATTTTTCTTGGCAATTATTTATTCTATTCAAATAAAAGAATTTAGATTTCAGTAAATATACGTATACTAATATAATTATTTGTACTAATATAATATACTAATATTATTAGTATTAATATAATATAATTATAATTATTAATACTAAGATAATATACTAATATAATTATTAGTACCGACCAAAAAAATATTCACTGTTTTTTAGATATTTTTCCTCTCAGTGCAAACAGGTTTATTTGAAGAACTTCCTGAAGTGGTGTGCACTGGTGCAATAATTTGGAGTGATATTCCGTTGCACCAGTGCAGTACACTATTTCAGATGTTCAGTGGGCTGCAAACTGTTTAGACGCACGATGAAGTTGGAAGTTCACCAAATTGTCACAATTAACAGTCATTACCGATGGATTTACATAATAATAATAATATAATTAATAATATAACTAAGGACAATAAATAATAATAGTTGATAATAATAATAATAATGATATAATTATCAGGTAAACTCGTTACAATAATGATTCTCAATTTTGACAGCTTGGTGAACTCCCAACTCCATTGTGTTTAAACCATTTTGCAACCTATTGTGTAATATACAAAGTGTCTGATAATTCAGCAGAGTTATAACAGCAACGCATCTGCCGTCGTTGCATGTAAATTTGGCCAAACTGAACAAAAAAGTCCTCTAGCATTTCACAAAAGAACATGTGGACTTTTAGATATTAATTTGAGAAATTTGGTGCACGCACTAGTTTTCTCCAATTAATAATTAGAAATCGGTTATTTGTAAAATAGTAGAGAACTTTTTAGCTTACCTTAATGTACGACGGCAGACGTCGTCATTACAGTTCATTTACCGTATGGCGCGTAATCATTTACCGATCCTCTCCAATTAATAACTCAGAATTTTACGTGGAATTTTACTTGCGAAAAGGTAGAAGAAATGTTCAGTTTGACGAGTTCTACTTGTACGCAACAGCTGTGTCGTGAATTGTCGGACACCCTGTATACCTGTTTCGCTCTAACTCTTATTGCAGCAGCGTGTACACCAGTTCAGGAAGTCCCACGAGACAGAACAGGGCCAATGGCGCTGGTGCTCCTGTCAGAAAGAGCAACTCAAATACATCAAACGCAACATGACAATCCGCCACGATCTACCGGAATGCTGACGTCATCGTTGGCCCATGTCAAAGGAAGAAAGGCGCGAGCAGGTAAAAGAACACACGATAAAAATAGCGCCATGATCCCCGATTTTCCGCTCACGAGAGGCGCTCGGACAGGATTAATAACGCGATCGATGGCGCGCGCGCGCGCGGCCGGCTCGCGAGTATCTCTCTTTCTCTCTCTCCATTCCGCGTCCATACAACCTGTCCTGTTCTCGCCGCAGCTGCCGCGCGCAATAATCCACAGGCGATTGCACTCCGGCTCGAGAACAAAAAAAGAAACAGACGGTGCGCGCACGTCCGTTTGTTCGCCGTTCCACGCGAATTCGCCCCCGGCGGGCTTCACTTCACACCACGATTTCACTGTCCGCGGCTGGCCTCGCGACCATGAACGAAAGCAGCGTGGTAAACACAGACGGTAGAACGAGCGGTGTGCTCCTCCGCGCACACGTCCGCGGCACCGGGAAGCGACACGGTAACGCACGCCGCAACGTCCGAAACTGTACTGGCGCGCGGCTGCGCCGTCGCTCGCGCGCATCACGATGCAAGCAAGGCCGTCCGTCGTCTACGCGCTCTCTGCTGGATGCTCCGGGAAATAAATTCGGACTCGGAGGATGCGCCGGCACTTGGACCGTCCGGCCTAATTAAGCCTATCAGTTACGGAACATACGGCGGGCTTGTGTCGTGGAGAGTTCAAGATCACATCCGCGCGGATTGTTTACGCGTTTTGTTTACGCGCGACGTACATACCCTTTCGTGTGAACTATGTAGAATATAAGTGACACTAAAATATCGAGAGAAAGAGTATTTGAATTATGAGACAGTTGTACCGTATCGTTTTTAGGTATTAATTAATGTAATATAAATGTAAAGCTCAAAAAGAGTACAAAAATTGCGTGAAATTATTTCATCATATATGACAGATCGGTAGATTTCATCAAAATTACGTCGTGAATTTCACGATTACGTTCATACGGATTGTTTACACACTTTCTATACGATATATTCAGTCGTTTTTCTTGTAAACTATACAGAACTTTGTAAATTATTATATATTGAAATAAACCCAAAAAAAAAAGTATTTAAATTATAAGATAGTTACCATGTTTCTTTTAAGTATTATAAATATAATGTTTGAAAAGAATAAACTATTTTGCAAATATTGCATTTGATAACAAAACTTTATTTTATTTTGTGAGAGATCGGTATACGGAGAAAATTGCACGGTAAAAATTGCATTAAAACTATATCGTTTTTCACAAAATTCTTTTTATAAAGTTACATTAAATTATAGTATAAATCACTATAGAAGTAGTAAATTTCACGATTTATTTGATATCCGATATAAAAATATAAAAAACGTTCTAGTGATTACAATAATTTTGCAATAAAAAAGCAAACGCGCGCGCGCATGAATATAACATTTTCAAACAAATATATAATAAATTCAGTCATAATTCTGCATAGTCCAGAATTACAAAAATTTTGTTAATTATAATTTTGACTACGATATTTTCTCCATGTAGATTTAAATTCTAAAGATAAGAATGTAACTAAAGAATTCTGTAGAGACTCTAATTAATTTGTTTAGGAAACATTAAACTTACATCAAAAGTTAAATAAAAATAAAATAAATTTATTAAAATTTTATAAAAAAATAAATAAATAAACTTTTTAGCAAACCATACATTTTTTTAACGATATTCATAAATTATTCATTATCTGCATAGATAGCAGGAAAGATTCAGTATGTTTAACAGCGATATATACGTTTTCGCTAACGTTCATGAAATCGAAAAACTTTTCCATTGGTAGCTGTTATGTTATTAAAAAATTCATGCATATTAAGTGCGCATGATAGGGGATTATTGAAAGGTCATATTTGCCTCAATTGACCTGATTGATCCTCTGTGGAAGATTTTAGAGACATATCTCTAATACATTTGTTACGGAGCCAATCTGCTACCCGCGAATATTTTCACTCGGGAGAATTTATAAAAGCAAAAATCTATGGAACTCAAATTTGTTGACAGGACTTATAGGATTATAAATTTGTTGACAGGACTTATAAGATTATAAATTCCTCTGTTAAATTTGCGACTTGTTTGCTATACACGGACGCACTCGCTGTAATCTTTTAATCTTCAATTTTACTTTAATCTCTTTCTAATTTCTCTGCTTTAATCCTGTTAATCTTTTAATTTTAAATTACCAATGCTACATCCCAATATAATCTTATCCTCAGCTGAATCCTCTTATGTTCTCAAGAGGATTTATCAAAAGAAAAATATCTTAACATCCAAGAAGAAAGATGCAAGATACTAATTGCAAGGTACTATTTCCTGCAATCCCATATTCTAAGCGAAAACTTTTACCAAAAGAACATCTCTCTTCTAACGAAGAAGAATATGTGCTTGGAATAATTCCCTTTTGGTTTTAGAAGAGTCCTCTTGAAGTAATATACAAGAGCATTCCGCTACGGATGAGCTTAGCTTGGTGTAGTAGTAGCAGTAATAGTTAATCTATTACTGTCAATGTGCGATAATTTTAATTCCCTTAATTGTTTTTCACATTATAATCCGCCTTAACGTTTTTGATCATTCTTTTTACACAGAAAATAAATAAAATGATATTATAAACATTTCTTATATTAACTCGTTATTCTAAATCTACTCGTCACTTTAATGTAGATCACAAAATGACTAATATTGGCAATCTACGATTGAATTGCGCTTCCAAAGTTTTAAAGCTCAATCAACTTACACATCTTTACAATAACCGGAAATAACGCGCGAATTACGTTCTATTATTTCAAAATTGGAGGATGCCTACACTGTTAAATCCGTAGTGTCAAATTATACTCAATTTGAGTTATTTTTAACCACTCTTATAAGTCGCCACTGCTCCTACTAAATATGTCGTTAATTTAACTGATGTAATGGAGTTAAATAATTTAACTTAAGAAATGTATAATATTAAATTTGACTAAAATTTAGTTTATTTTTTATTATGTGCACGTTAATGTAATCTTTGTTTTAGTAAAAAATGATTTAATATTGTTTTAAACAGGTTGATTATACATGGTTGTTTTTTTAAACACATGTTTTGTGTTAAAATAGTAAATTTTGACACACATGATAGTTAAAAATAACTAAATATTATTTAACTCAAGAAATTGGTTTAAATTTGACCCTCCAATATTTAACAGTGTTGGTGATAACATTGGCATAATGCTATATATGTAATTGAGCCTAATTTTTTAAACATATCCCGACGATACCAAAAGCTACTCACTCGCTTACATTATCCCGACGCGCCGCGACACTTCAAGCGTATTTTTCACGGATTTCCACGCTCTTTAGGAGCACAGACGATCGGCCAGTTAAACGCTCCTTCTCTTCGCTCTCTCCCAAATTTCCCAATACCCAGTATTAAGCGGGCAATCCGTCGTTGACGTTCCAGCGGATATTTAGATTTACAGCGGCGGCGGGGCGCCGTAACAGTTTTTGCTCCACGGGAAGGGATAGTCCACGTGCGCACGGAAACGAGTAGATTTCCTACGGCAAATTAAACTCGCAGCCGAGGGCGGCAAGTCGACCGAGGCTACGAGGGACGGAGGAGAAGAAGACGAAGAAACGCGCCGGAGAGCGGCGGTTCGCCGTTCCGTTTGCTCGCTTTTCCTCCGATACTAGCGCGAGCTAGCGAGAGAGGACTTCCTTTTTTTTCTTCCTCTCTCTTTCTCTCTCTCCCCTCCCTCCCTCTCTTTCTAATCATTTCATTCAAATCTCTGCGCGAACGCGTACGCGGCTCGAGGGACGCGCTCGCTCCCGCTGCGTTTCCAGGACACGGAGCTACCGCAAGTGCCAATTAAAAAAGTGATTAAACGGAGGGCGCTACGAGGGAGGGAGGGAGCAGAAGTCTCTTTCCAAGGCTGCTGCTGCAACAACGCAGCAGCAGCAGCAGCAGCACACTGGACTCCTCCCCCTTTCTCCGCAACGTGCGCGGAATTAATTCCGTTATATCGTGGACACGACAGCGATCCGTATCTCTACGTATGCCCCGCAAAAGAATATTCATAGTCGCCTTTCAGCTTTTCCGCCCTTTTTCGCTGAAGAGAACTCGAACATGAATATCCTTGCCTCATCGCCTGTGTCGATTTAATCTAGCCGGTAATCCGGATCCGTTCTCCATCGAACCGGTATTTAATTTTGTAATTTCATTTCTGCACAATTTTCGTCTGTGTGCTCCGGCGGCGTTGTTATTAATCCTCGATCCTTAGCTCATCTGTACGTTTATATTAGGTCGCAAAAGGTCTGTTGTGTTTATTGAATGAAACAGGAAATGGTATTATCCAATTTCGAAAGGATAATAAACGCTCGATATTCTTCTAGACATCCAACGAGGACTTCCTATTTTCCTCTTAGTAATGCGCAAACTTGTGACAGAATTTAAAAAGAAAGAAAATTTTATCTTAATAAAATAAAATTAGAGTTTAATAAAACTAAATAAAGAAAAATAACAAATTTTTTGATGGAATAATTCTCGGTATATCTTGAAACATCTGACGAGAACACTATTTAATGCACAAACTTCCTACGAAGATTTAATGGAATAAAAAAATTCTCTCTCTCTCTCTCTCTCTCTCTCTCTCTCTCTCTCTCTCTCTCTCGATAGAATAAAATTTAATAAAATTAAAAAGTTAATAAAATAGATAAAAATAGAATTTAATAAAATAAGAAAATTTCACAAACTAATTCCTAACTAACACTAAACTAATACCAAACTAATGCCAAACTTTTACATCGAACTAATATTACTAGTATAATCGAATTAGAATATAATAATTTTACTTCCGTGCAATTTTCGTATGATCGGGCGGTATTATTGTTAATCTTGACTTATAGTGCACCCGTATGCATATATTAGGTTAGCGTAAAAGGTCTGCCGTGTTTGTCAAATAAAATAGGAAATGACATTATTCAATTTCAAGGGACTAATAAATTTCCAATATTTTTTTAGACATCTAGCAAGGACTTCCTATTTTCCTT